AGCCCTGTCATTGGGAGCATAGATGTTTATTATGGTTATGTCTTCATGATGGATCATCCCCTTAATCATTATGTAGTGTCCTTCTTTGTCTTTTATGGTAGATTTTGTTTTAAAGTCTATTTTATCTGAGATTAGAATTGCCACTCCTGCTCCTTTTTGGTAGTTGTTAGCTTGATATATTTTTTTCCAACCTTTGACTTTTAATAAATTCACATCTTTATTTCTAAGGTGTGTCTCTTGTAGACACCATATTGATGGATCCTGTTTTCTTATCCATTCTGCCACTTTTATGTTAACATTTTTTATTCTAGTTTTATTTACCATGTCTTTATGATTTTATAAGAAAATAAGTTTTAAAATATAATTTTACTAGACTTTTTTCTTTCAAATTTAGGTACAGCTCTCTCCTAAGGAGAATGGTATTTTGATGTTAGCTTGTCAGTGTGAAAAAAGTTTCATCATTTTCTTCATGAACACTTGGTTGGATAGCACAGTCCTCTGTATTTTTTCAGTTTTTGCATGTGTTCCATGCTTAAATAACCAAGGAAGTGTTTTTAGGGAATAATCAGTTTGAATAACTAAACAGTACAAATATGGGTGATTAAAAGATTCTCTAGGTCACATATAGTGCATAAAGTCAGTCTGTCAAATTATACTTTTATATTGCTACTTTCTTGGTATGTTAATATTTTTATTAATGCTTTTAAAAATAAATGTGATAAATCCTTTTTTTTTTTCCCAAACCTGGAATATTTTTCTTTGGAATGTATATGGTGAGGTTGAATCTGTCTAAAGATGTAGAAAGGAAACCACTAGGGCTAACTGGGTAAAATAGTATTGAAAAGGTACAACCAGTTGTAAAGCAGTCTCACTGACAATCCAGGGTTAAGAAACAAAAGTCTAGCTGAGTGTCACGAAGACTGGATTTGCCCAGTCAGGAACCAGGATATGTTTGCTTTTTGGGAGTCTTGCTCTCATTCTCTCTGCGCCTTCTCTTTCTTGTCTTTGTCTTTCTCCTTCTATCTCACTCCCTTCTTCTCTCACCATTTTCCTTTCCCTCTCCCTCTCTCTCTTTCCCACTCCCTCTCTCCCAACCCCTTCCTCTCCCAACTGTGCCTGGGCCATTTCCTCAAAGAAGATTCAACACAATTGCCTAAGGTTAATTGTAGTTATAAAGGTAGCTTATTTGCTTTCTAAGTTATTTTTACTGCCTTAAATAGATAATACAATTGGAAAATGGTTGTAAGTTAGCCAAGTTACTCGTTCCAGCGAACATTCATTGAATTTTGTCCCTGTGTTAGGCACTGTTTTAGGTGCTTGGGAGATAGCACTGAACAAAACAGGTGAAAGTCTGGGAACCAGACAGTAAACAAGCTAAATGTGTAAGGTGACAGATGATGATAAAGGCTAGATAAAGAGAAGCAGGGAGACTGAGATTGGAAGTAGGGGATGCTTTTTAAAAAAGAATGGTCAGGGATGGAAAAATTTGGGAATGGTTAATGGTGATGATTGAACAACATGATGAACATTAATGTCACTGAACTGTACAAGTGAAGATTGTTGAAATGGCAAATGCTTATTATTTACCATAATTTAAAAATTATTACCACAGTTAAAAAAAAATCAGGGGACTCCTTACTGGCATGACATTTGAACAGAGATGGGAACGAAATGAAAGTGAGAGCCATTCATATAACTAGAGAGTGAACTTTCCAGGCAAAGGAAATGACAAGTGAAGGCTTGAAGGAATGAAACACCCTCAGGCAAGACTCTGCTTGTAATGTTCAGGGAACAGCAAGGAGGCCTTTGTGGTTGGGGTTGAGTGAGCAAGGGGGGAGAAATTATTAAGGAGATGGGGTTAAGAGGGGTAGCCATGGACCAGGTCACGTGTAGGCCACTGTAAGGTCTTCAGTATTTACTTTGGGTTGGGAATCCATTGGAAGGTTTTGAGCTAGAGATGTAGCATGATATGATTTATAAAAAGTGCCTTCTGACTGCTATGTTGAAAATAGACCATAGGGAAGAAGCAGGCAGACTAGTTAGGACCAGTGGGTAGTAGTGGTTGGATCTGAATGTATATTAAAGATAGAGCTATCAGGATTTGCCAGTAGATGGCGTGTGGAGTGTGGAAGAGAAGAGTCAAGGATAGCTCCAAGTTTTTTGGCCTAAGCAACTGGAAGAATAAAGTTGGAATTTACTGAGCTGGAGAGGTCCACATAAAGAGTACTTTTTTGGAGAGGAAGGGTAGTAGTTGGGTTTTGGACATAAAAAATTTGAGATGCCCATTAATAGGGGTTGCATATGAGTAAGGAGATCAGGGGGAAGGTCTGGACTAGCGATGAAAATTTAGAAGTCAGCCTAGAGGTGGCATTTAAAGCCATTCAATAGGATGAGATAGCCAAGGAAGTGAATTTAGATAGGTTGTCTGAGGAAAAAACTCTAGGGTAATCTCAGTGTTTAGAGATGAGAGATGTGAGGAGAAGCAAAAGGAGACCAAGAAGGAGCTGTCAGTGAATTAGGAAAACCAGGAGGGATGTGAAGTTCTGGAAGTCAAGTGAAGAATAAATTTTAAGGAGGAAGGAGTGTCTGTCATATGCTACCGATAGGTCACATGCTGCTGATAGGTCCAGTAAGGTGAGGACTGAGAAGTGCTTATTGAATTTGGCAATGGCAGGTCATTTGTGATCCTGGGGGCTGTTTTGGTGGAATGCTGTAGGTGACAGCCTAAAGAGAGGGAGTGAAAGAATGAGAGAACAGTTGAAGATAGCACATGTAGCCAAATTTTGTATTGTTTACTTCTGAGTTTTTGTTATATTTGGATACTAATAAAATCATATTTGATATTGCTTTATTTTAGTAAGAGTGTTATTTTGTGAAACTTGTTTCAGTTATGTATCTGTTTATGTGATACGTGTATATTTGATGTCTGTGTGGTGTGTACTGTGTTGTAATATAAATATATTTCTTACCGTGGGTCATCGTAAAAAAAAAGTTTGAAAACTACGGAGTTATGAAAGATTAGGTAGGAAACTTAGGGGGCAGTGAGTTTATGTTAATGGGGGAGGAACACTGGAAAAGGAGGGTGAGAATGATTGTACAACTTGAAGAATGTAATCAGTGTCATTGAATTGTGCATGTAGAAATTGCTGAATTAGTATATGTTCTGCTGTGTATATTCTCATCAACCACAAAAAAAAAAGTTACTTAAAAAATATGGAGTTAAAGCAAGAAAGTGCAGGGAATGAATGTTCAGAGAAGAGGTTGAGGATGTAGGGGATCTTACTGATGTGGGCACAGTGGGAGGATTTAGGGAGTTGAGAGGGTTGGGAAATGTGATCACAAAGGGGAGTTTAGAACACTAAAGGTGAGTGCAGGACAATGAGGATGATCTAGGAGTCCTGGGATGCTTATGGAGACTGGTGTAAATTGGGATAAAGGGCATGGTAAGCCCATGGTCCAAAAATACTTTGTCATGGAAAGAATTCATTCCGTGTAAAGGGCCAGAGGGTATTTAGCTTTGTGGGCCACACACAGTCTGTTGCAATTTTTTTTTAACCCTTTAAAAATGTAAAAATGACCCTTATTTAGCTCAAGGGCTGTATAAAAACAGACCTGGGGGCTGTACTTTGCTGACCCTGCTCTATACTAAAAGACTCTTAACAGAAGCTCTGGACAAATAATTTTCATGGAGTCCTGTTTGTTTTTAAATTATTATTTTTAATAGGTAGCCTTTAAAAGTAGCCTTCTTGTACCTGTCTGCCAGCTGTCCTGTTCCCCTCCCTGAAGGCAATAACTGTTATAAGTTTTCTTGTATATCATTTTAAAAGTTTTCTATGAATGTGTAACATACATGTATGTGTACATCCTGTCATTCAATTTTAAGAAATTTAACTAGGTTCTTTTTTGTTTAGGTTCACACTATCAAATTTAATGTTATACCAGTTTTCAGTTTACTGAGTCTCATCTCTAAATCTAGCCTTCATGCCTACTCTGCAATAATGGATCTGGACCCCTGTTGTCAGGCACCGTGTAAAGCTTTGTCAGTAGAGGGTGCTGATAGACACTGGAGCAGCAAGGGGCTTCTTTTCCTGGCTCCAGTGAGCTCCTCTAGGCAGATCCCTTTGGCACATGTGCCTTCTGTAGCACCTGGCTCTGTGGCACGTGTGGTTTCACCAGCACACACCCTGTGCAGCGTCCAGGTTCCGCAGTAGCTAGTGGCCAGCAGCACGCTGCATCTCCTTTGAATAGCTTCCCTGCAGCACCTTCTCAGCAAAGTGCCACCAGCCCAACACCTCCTCAGGTCAAACTGCAGCCTCAGTGAACCCCTCTGTCATCCAGTGAGTCAGGGCTGTGGCTTCTATGAGGTCCAGACCTCAGCCCTGGGGGAAACTTGTTCCTTTCTTGGGTGCTCTGTCTCAGCTTAGGGCTGGTGGCTGTTCCCTGTATCTGCTTAGACGTCTGTATTCCTTATCAATCTCCATTATGCCAACTCTCTGTTATAGTTCATTCTTTATATTAAATTTTTGCTGGTCAAATTACTTTGTGGTTTCTGTTTCCTGGTTGGACTCTGATACAATACTAAAAACATTTCTGATTACAAAAGTATTGCATGTATAATCAGACAAGGAAGAAGATAACCCTGTCTCCTAGTAATCCCATCCTCCAGAGGTAGCCCATTAATGTTTTAGTGTAACTAGTTTTATTTTTTTATTTTAAATATAAAAATAATACAGGCACTTGTGAAATCAAAAACAGCAGAAAAGGGTAGATAGTGAAAAGTAAAAATGTCCTCCAGTAACCACCATTAAAATTTTCTTGCATATCTGTCTAGAAAATCCTAATGCATCTACAAACATGAGGGTACTTATTTCAGCAAATGGGATCATGTCATACATACAGTCTGTGTTTCATACTTCGGGGATGGGGGAGTAAAATTGGCTTTTTCCTTGGTGAGAGTAAAACTGAGGATGAAAGAATCATTACTTTGCAACTCACAGTAGCATCATGAATTTAGAATATCTTGTGGCCATTCAGAAAACTGCTGCTTAACTGCTAAGAGTGACATTCTGGACACACATAGATTTACACAGTCCTGTCAAATGTACTGCCTTGAGCAATATGAAGTCACTAAAGAGAGAAAGTATGTTTTCCATGAAATAGAGTAGATTCATAAGAAAATTATAAGGCCATTATAGCATACATTGAACTCTATGGTTATGCAAAAAGCATTAATATTCACTTTTCTGGAAAGCAGCTAATCTTCAGTAATGCTAAATTCTATTCTGTATTTTATGCTTATACAGTGAAACCTGTGACAGCCAGAGCTTGGTAAGACTGCCTTGTTTTTCCGGATCTCGCAAGTTTTCTACCTTTGACAGGATGCAATCTTAACCACTTCTCTATCTCTCCTTTTAGTGGAAAATATTTGAGTTTTCCTTCTCTGACAGGTTTCCACCTTACACAGATTCCGGCTCTCACAGGTTTTAATGTATAATAAATGTTGAGTCAAAAGCCTCTGGAAAAAGTTGTTTTTCTCTAAGCCCTATTTCTTTTTTACATTGGCACTGGGTAACGGGAAGGTGTAAGTAAACTCTAGTATATATGCATATTAAATATACAAAACTGGTCTTAAAAGGACTAAGAAATGTCTCTTGGCCCACAAAAGATTCGTTTGGACCCTGTGTTAAGGTCAACTCTTAATTCATCTCTCTACTAATTCACTCCTTAAGTTAGTCATCTCACATATAACTTGAGCACTTCTTGCACATTTTTACTTTGAGATAGATCAGTGCACCTCTCGCCAACCCCTCCTCGGTGACTGTTACTGTTTTACTATAGTTAACCTGAAAACCTGATGCTTGACCCTGAATAATGGAGGGTTAGCTACATAAACTTCATCGAAGGGCTAATCTTTAGTTGGAGAGGAAGATTCAGGAACTTCAGAGGTACTGGTAATGATCTATTAAGCTGAGTGATTGTGTATGCAGGTTTTTGTTTTTTTTTTAATTATCACATACCTTACACATTTTATTAATTTTCTTTTGTATGCAATATTTAATGAAATGTTTTTGGAAAATTAAGTTTTTGGAATTGTTAACAAAAAATTTCTTGATTCAGCAGTTTTTAGCTGAACCTTCTATTTCTGAATAATTGGGGAGAATGGCAGTACCCATTTCCAGTGAAAGGTTAAGTATTTAGATTGAGGGTGCCTTTCTTTCATGGCATTAAGCAATGTGATGTCTTCTGCATCCAGGAGCCAACTTAACATGTGAAGTCGGATGAGGCTTGGCAGTCGTGACACACACTGACTCAATGACTTGACTGTTGGGGCCTGAGCTTTGAGACACTCTGTGAAATGCCTCGAGATGTCCAATTCTTGCAAGTTTGGCAGGTTATCCAGTTCTTGAAAGAAATTTCTATATCCTTCCTCAGTAATCTTGTTATTGATTGAAAGCTGTAGGTTCTCAAGTTTCTGGAAACCTCCATTGATTGCTACCTTGGCTATGAAAACAAAATTTTTATTTATGAAATTGGAATCATAAGTACTTCTGTATCAACAGTGATAGACTAGGTTATCTCAACCAACCTCCTCTTCAGCCTCCACCACCACCACCACCACTGCCACCGCCACCACCAACACTGAACATAGGAAATACTCAATATAATATTTTTTAAAATCTCCTTAAAAATATCCTGTATAGCTTGAGTCTTTCTGCTATATGCAGAAGGAAAGGACAAGAAGAATGAGAGAGAGAATTGGACAGAAGCTGCACGCATATTGATCAAGAACTTCCCCAAATGGATAAAAAGACATTAAGCCACAGATTCAATAAGCTCTACAAACATTATGCAGAATAAATACAATGAAAACCATACCCAGGCACATTATAGTAAAACTGTTGAAAAAGCAAAGAAAAAATCTAAAGGCCACCAGAGGGGGGGAAAAAAAAAGACATCTTCAAAGGAGCAACAAAGACTGACAGCCAACTAAACAAAATAAATGATGGAAATCAGAAATGTGAAAGAAAACAAGTGCCAAAATGGAATTCTGTATTCACTGAAAATATTTTTCTAAAATGAAGGCAAAAGAAAAGACATTTCTAGACAAAAGTGAGAGAATTCATTTCAGCAGACCCACACAAAAGGAAATGCTAAAGGAGTTTTTCAGGTGGAATGAATGATTCCTGATGAATGGAAATGCAGGAGAGACTAAGGAGCAACAGAATACAGTAAATATGTGGTATATCTAAATAAATAGTTGTATAAAACAATGATAATGTCTTGTTGGGTTTAAATTTATGCAGAATTAAATGACAACAATAAGAAAAAAGTGTAGAGGGAGGTAAATGCAGTTAAAATGTTCTAAGGTCCTTACTCATGATGTGGTAAAAGTACTAATTTATATTAGTGTCTAATAACTCAAAGATGCAAGTTGTAATCTCTGGGATACCACTAAAAAATAGTTTAAGAATGTATAATTAATAAGCTAACAGATGGGGAAAATAGAAATACTGAAGGCAAGAGAAAAAAGGATACATGGAAAACAAATAGCAAATAAAAAGATACAAATTTAACTATATCATTAAATAAAAAAAATATAAACAGATTAATACTCCAGTTAGAACTAAAAGATTAACAGAATGGATTTTTTAAAAACCTAACTATATGTTCTTTGCAAGAGACATACCTTAAATATAAGGACATAGAGTGAAATAAAAGGAAGGAAAGAGACATAGGATGCAAATAGCAAAAGAACACTGGCATGGCTATATTACTAAATGACAAAGTAACTGTCTTTAAGGCAAGAAGCATTACTAGAGATAAGAGGATCAATCTATCAGGAAGATCTAACAATTCTAAATTTGAATGTGCCGAGCTTCAAAATACATAAAGCAAAATTATAACTAAAAGGAAAAGAAGACAAATCAACAATCATAATGAGAGATTTTAACATGTTTTTCCCAGTTACTGATAGAAGAAGCAAACAACAACAACAACAAAAATCAGTAAAGATAGGGAAGATTCGAACAATACCTTTAACACACTTGATTTGACTCCAGAAAACACATTCTTTTCAAGTACAAATGGAACGTTAAGATTGTCTATATGCTGACATAATACAAATCTCAACAAATTTCAAAAACTGAAATCATCATACAGTGTATGTTCTATAATAACTGTGAAATTAAGCTGGAAATCATTAACGAAAAGATAGACAATTCCAAAATATCTGGAAATTAAGCAGTGCATTTCTAAATAACTGATGTGTCACCAAAAAAAAAAAACCTGACGTGTCAAAGAAATGACAACTGAAATTAGAAAATATTTTTAACTGAATGAGAATGAAAATGTAACTTATAAAATATTTGAGAGGCAGCTAAAGCCAAAGTCAGTGATCTAACTATCCATCTCAAGAAGTTAGGAAAAAAGAACAAATTATATCCAAGGAAAGTAGGAGATAATAGAGATAAGAGCAGAAATGAATGAAATGAAAACATAGACAGTAGAGAAAATAAAGCCAAAAGTTGGTTCCTTGAAAAAAACTGATAAAATATATAAACCAATCAAGGAAGAAGAGAAAAGGCATGAACTAATATCAAGAATTAAAAAAGGGGGATATTACTACAGATGTTTAAAAAGGTTGTAAAACTATATTATGAGAAACTCTAGACAAATGAAAAAATTCTGCAGTGGTTAAGAGCTATGGCTGCTAACCAAAAGGTCAGCAGTTTGAATCTACCGACAGCTCCTTGGAAATCCTATGGGGCAATTCTACTATGTCCTATAGGGTCTGTATGAGTCAGAATCAACTTGATGGCAACAGGTATACCATATGACTCAGAAATTCCACCCCTAGAAATATCTCCATATAGGCACCAAAATTTGTGTATAAGAATGTTCATATCAGCATTATTAACAGTAGCAAAATATTGGAAATAACCCGAATGTCCATCAACAGTTAGATGGATAAGTAAATTGGAGTATATATCATCATACAGTGGAATAATATATAGCAATGAAAACCAGTGGACTATAGCTACATCCATCAATATGAATGAGTATCACAAATATAATGCTGAGCAAAAAAAAAAAAAACCCAGACACAAAAGAGTACATATTGTGTAGGATTCCATTACATAAAGTTTTAAAGCAGGCAAAAGTAATCTATGGTGCCAAGAAGCAATATAATGGCCACCTTTGGGAAGGAGAGGAAAGTAGTGTCAGAGAGGGGACACTCGGGAGGCTTCTGAGCTGTTGGTTATGTTCTATATTCTAATCTGGGTGATTGTTACGAATGTACACTTGAAAACTAGTTGAGTTGTACCCTTATGATTTGTGCACTTTATATTAATCTTCAACTTAAAAAAATTCTCTAAGAAGGAGTGCTTTGGAGGATATGTGGCCAGCAGTCTGAAACATTAGATGTCAAGAACACAGACTTGAGGGCTTGTGTAACTCAAATGGGAAGCCATCTTGCACTTCCAAATTTTACCAAAATGAACGTAAATCTACAGAAGGGCACTAGAGAGGAACAATATGAAAGTGAAAATGAAGAACTAGTTGAAAAATGTTTTAAAGGGAAAATGCTTTTTAATAGACATTTTGTAGACTTCAGCATCAGTAGTAGAAAGCTTGGATAATACCACTGGCAAGCAAGCTGAAACACTTTAAGGGTAACTCACCTATTTCCATCACGCTGTCATCACTCAAAGTCTGGGAAAATGAGAGAACTCGGAGACATCGAAGCTGCTGACACTGCTGGATGATCAGTTTAGCCACTTGGTAAATCCCATCGCCAGTAGGAAGGAACAGCTCCTCTAAGTTATTAAGAGAACCTAAAGTGTCGGCTATCAGAAGAGACAAAAAAGCTATTCTCTTTGTACTGTTTCGTTCCCACAACAATGGTAATCCATAGCCTCAAAATCATGCACAGTCCAGGACACTCAAGGTCCCATGTAGCATGCAGGCTATTCCTCTTTCTCTCCAAAGGCAAGAAAGAGGGGTCAGCCTACACCTTGATCCTCATTGCTGCCTCCAGACAACCATTCCTCCAACCTCCCCTGACCAACCTCTCCTGCACTGAAGTCCAGACTGCCTCCCGTAGCTCCATTTCCTCTTTCAGACTGAAGCTGCTACTGGCCCCCAGGACATTCTCCTCACTCCTCAGTGCCTTCAGCAGCCTTCATTTCCACCCTACTTAATGCTGTTGTGCTCAGTGATTTCAACATCTGCCTCCCAGCACTCCAGCCTCACAATCCACTCCTCTCACAACCTTTTTTTCCACTTTGACCCCTCCTTTGCACAGCACACTGTGGATCACTTGATCACTAGAAAGTCCTTTATTTCTGAAGTGTCACACTCTGAAATATTTTGAACGCTTTCTAGCATAAAACAATGCTCCAGGCTCATCTACTTTCCCTGCCCAGTTCTTCAATTACCTATTGCTCCAAGGACTTTGTTCCTCTTAGGGAGGAGAGTATTTAGACAAGATCTGGGCACTTGGTGTGCTCATTGCTACTAGGGTGGCATTCCTTCCAGTCTTTCAGTTGACGGAGCTGAGAAATATGCATACGCGTATATATAGACAGATACATATACACACACATCTGTATCTCTATATCTACCTATGTGTATAGATTTTAAAAACCATGTTGTTAGATGCCATCGAGTCAGTTCCAACTTGTAGTGACCCTATGTACAACAGAACAAAATGCCATGAGTCCATACCAACATCTCCAATTCTAACCCAACACGTCAAGGTTCTTTCTAGCCATATCCCTTTTCAATACTTGCAAATTCCTTCTCCAACTGTGAGAAACCTGGCTCTCATTATACTCAACATGTTTACTTATTTGCTTATGTATGCCAGCTACCTCCTTGGGCCTTGATCTTGCCTCTGCAGCCTCAACCTACTGCCTCCTTAGCAACCCTCCACACTTCACCCCTCTTTACCACTGCCTCCAAAGAATGGGAAGAGAAAGGAGGTGAAAGAGTACCAGGTGATTCTTATGCATGCTAAAGTTTGAGAAGCACTTTGAATAGCACTGCTCTACACTCCACATGAAGTCCCTGGGTGGTACAAATGGTTAACAGGCTTGGTGAAAGGTTGGGAATTCAGATTGACCCACAGGTACCTTGGAAGAAAGGTCTGGCAATCTACTTCCCAAAAATCAGCAATTGAAAACTCTATGGAGCACAGTTCTACTCTGACACACCTAGGGTCACCATGAGTCTGAATCAACTCAGTGGCATCTGGTACTGGTAACATTTCACACCTCCACTGCTTACCCTTATTTTTTCCTGTTAGAATTATTTCCATGAGCATACATTACTTTTGTAATCATACAAACAATGAAAAAAAGTATTTAAACTCTTTTTGCATCTATCATTTTGTTAAATCATACTGAGTTTTCTTAATCTTAAAAGATAGCTATACCTGTATCCCAGAAACCTTTGAAACAACAGGATATTAACGTGGGGAATGGATACCTGAGAATGAACTTGCTTAGTGCTGCAATGACCAAAGAGTATTATATTCTAAGAAATAAGTCACTCTGAGAATATTGCTTTGTATGGGATCAAGAGCCAGGAAACACAATAATGAAGGCATCTGGATGGTAAAAGTTGAGCATCACTGTCACTTCCTTCTAAAGAACAAGAACAAGGGCAGCTAATACATATTCTGATTTGTCGTGGCTAATTCTAACAGGAGAAAAAAGATTTGTTGGGAGGAAATTAAAGAATAAGTAAAAGGTACTGTTCTGTAAACATACCAAATTTTTCAGATATTTCCTTATCATGAAATACTTGTTGTCCAAGATTTAAAATCTTCAGAGAAATAAAATTTGGCAAAGTGATGACTATAAAAGAGAAAATAGAAATTTAGTTATGTCAGCTGCAACTCTCATAACAAAAAGGAATGTCTTTAAAATAAAGACTATAACCAAAAGTGATAGAAATTAACATAATTCAGACTAAGTAGATAAGAAAAATCTTTGCTCAGAAACTAATTTTGGTAACTAGAGATGTTTAGAATTCTAGAAACAAATATACTTTACTACATGAGAAATTCATTTAAGAGCAGATATCAATTACAGTAGTTTTGTTCTTTGGCTTCTATTTCATTTTTAAAAATTTAGCTCTTAGAAAAGTACTTAAAATGGCTCTGGCCACAGAAAATCTTAAACCAAAATTTTATAATTATACTTCTTACCAAATGGGATGGCTTCAAAAAATCCAGAAAACTTAATTTCTTCAAGCTTGCTGCAGGAAACAAGTACAGTCATGAGAGACTCAAAATCCGAAAAGAAATTACATTCCAGATGAAAAACACGAAGATTTGGAGAATTCTGAATTAATTTGACTGTAAAAGATCAAGGATTTTCAGAAATTAGAGAAGACTATAAATGTCTATCAGAATTAACTGCCTGATTTATTATTTTGTTTCAACAATACTGAAATAAAACAAGGCACTAAGATGTAATGTGCTACTTGGGCCTAGGTTCAGGCTCCACAACTGAATAGTGAGCTATGTGAACCTGGACAACTTACTGAATCCCCCTGGGGAGCAGTTCCCTCTTCTATAAAATCAGAGCACTGGGTAGTTACTCAGGAAGGTCACCTTCAGCTTTAACATCCTAATGTCTGTAAGTTTGTACAACACATTTACACAACAGAAATACTATACAAAGGAACGTGAAAGGAATGACAACTCTGAAGCAAAACCTAAATTTGATGCAAAAATTGCTGGCAAATATAAGAAAACTACCACTTGCAGCTTCATTTAGCTTCAATGAATCTTTGCAGAGTTGCATGTCAATTCCGTACAGATTTATGTTTCTTCAATGTTTATTGTTTGTTTTTTTACTTCAATACCTACATAAAAAGCAAAAGTCTTTACTAAACTAAGGAATTGATGATGCCTATCTAATTTTGCTGGAGCCCTGGTGGCACAGTGGTTAAGAGCTTGGCTGCTAACCAAAGGGTCGGCAGTTCGAATCCACCAGCTGCTCCTTGGATAACCCTATGGGGCAATTCTACTCTCTCCTATGTTGTCAGTATGAGTCGGAATCGACTTGATGGCAAATGGGTAAGTAATTTTGCTAAAGATGTATTTAAGATAGATGGCTATATAAGTTGTCCATCAACTATGAATTCAGGCTGGTGAGAAACAGGGCAATCCCCAGTTTCTACCAGTGAACAGATTTTCTTCCCCCTTAGCTGGCAGATTTGTAAGTTACAATATGAGAGCAACAATTAAAGGACTGTACAAACTGTTTTGGAGAGGCTGAATACTAGGGCTTAAGAGCACAGGCTTTGGAGTCAGAGCTTCTGTGTTTGAATCCCAAATCTGCCATTTCCTTAGCTAGGTGACCTTGAACAAATTACTTAATCCCTTTATGTCTCAATTCCCTCAGCTGTAAAATGGGAATAATAATAGCACTTTATTTCATAAAATGGTTATGAGAATTAAATGAGTTAATATTTGTAAAGTACTTAGAACAATTCCTAGCATGTAATAAGGGCTCTATAATTACAAATACCTCTCTGTTTTCTTAATGAGAAAGAGTGCTATTTCCGTAATGTACCATAGATATAGACTACAGGCTCAAATCCACAGAAGCTTTAACTCTTAAATAAATTATATGTCAAGTAGCTGTAAATCAACGTGCCATTCTTACCTAGTTTCGAAGGATCATATTCAGCTGAAATTTTGATCAATAATTTCTCCATATGGTGGAAATTTTGGAATTCTTCAGGAATGATTGAAAAAACATTTAGTTCACCCTCGAGTTTCACAGACAGTTCTTTCAGGCACAGGAACTTGTCCAAATTAGGAAAGATTTGGTCTGGAAACCAGCAAACAGTTTCCTAACATTAATCTAAACAGTTCTAAATGAAAAATTTTAAACTGTCATTTTGATTCATAAACCTATTTTCATATTTTCAAATGAAAACCTTTCATTTACCATAAAATACCCTTTTTTTAGACGTTCATATATGAAGACATCGTTTTTGCAGCATTTATTAATACCTGTTATATGGGAAGTTTGTGCTACTCTTTGAACTCACAAAAATAAAGACGACACTGGCTTTGCCTTGCAGGTTGCTCACAGTCTAGTTGGGGAGATTGACTTGCAAACAGATAATTATGGAATATAGCAAGTGCTTGATAAAAGTATGCACAGAGATTTCTCTCTTTTTTTCCTTCTTCTCAGTTTTATTGAGGAATAATCATGGCACAGTGATCAGGAGCTTGGCTGCTAACCAAAAGGTTGGCAGTTCGAATCTACCACCTTCTCCTTGGACTCAATAGCAATGGGTTAGCATTCATAAATGTACAGTTTGATGAGTTTTGACAAATGTATACCCCCATGAAATTAACATTCAAGTCAAGAGAATGAACTTTTCCATTGCCCAGAAAGTTCCCACCCTTCCCTTTCCAGTCAATGTTCCCCTCCCCACCCAATCACTTTTGGATTTCTAGCACCATACTTAGTTTTGCTTGTCTTGGACTTATAAATGGAATGACACAGGATGTATTTTTTAAATCTAGCTTCTTTGGCTTAGTGTAATATTTTTGTTTCATTTTTTTTCATGGTATCTTTTCAAAGTAGACGTTTTAGTTCTGATGAAGTGCAATTTATCCATTTTTCTTTTATGTTTAGTGAGTGTTGTGTCCCATCTAAGAAATCTAGGCCTATCCCCAAATCATGATGATACTCTTCTGTGTTTTCTTCTAGAAGCTTTGTAGTTTCAGCATTGATATTTAGTCTATGATCTAACTCAAAATAATTTCTGCATATGGTATGTGGTAGATGAATATTTACCTACAGTTATTATCATTATTATTGTTCAGATGGTTCTATTTTAGGCCAGTAGGAGCTTCTTCAAGTTGGCTGATGAATGAATCCTTTTGATACAACCCTAGTATCTTAATCATCTAGTCCTGCTGTAACAGAAATACCACAAGTGGATGGCTTTAACAAAGAGAAATTTATTCTCTCACAGTCCAGTAGGCTACAAGTCCAAATTCAGGGCATC